AAGTAACGCAGCTTTACATACCTCAGTGCCCTGAGACAGACCTCTTACATGGTTTCCCCCTTGACCTACCAAGAGAAAAATAACTTTTTTTTACGGTCACGTCTTCTTAGCAACTAAAGCCTTGATCCATACTTGGAGGGATGACAAAGTACCTACTGCTACTGACATATTTAATAATCTCATAAATAATAACTCATGGGAACTGGTGGCACATTCTGAATAGCACATTCAGCAGTAGAAACTATGAAAGCATATGATAACCAATGGGAATGGTCAATGGAGACTTGATTAAAATTCCCGTTGTTTGGGTGGGGGGTAGGAAGTACTGGGAAGGTTTTGGGACAATGCTGCTCTGCGTCTTCTCTTCTTTTCCACACTTCCCTTGCTTCATTTTCTAACATCTTTTTCTCTCTTTTCTTGCTACCATTTTGGTATAAGATATATACCTTTCAAACATGTACAAGTTCTTCTTCCCAGTAACACTCGTTATGGTCCATGATAAACATTATTGGTTACAATTATGATATATACATATCTTTTTTTTCTGTCAATAAAAAAATAATAAAAATTCATTAAACTTTAATTGGGAAAATAAAATTGATCTCAGCGGAGATTAGTGAACTGATGATTTGATATTAGAAGTCAGTGAAGTCCGCATACTGTCGGGCACCACTTCCAAGCCATGGATATTTGTAACTAGTCCCTACAAAACTGATTCATTTTCTCTCACAGCATGTGAATTCTACAACCTGCAGGGCAGCACCGCCAGCTTATCACCCAAACAGCATGCAGAGTCCATAGCGATCCAGGAAGACATGGCTGTGGTACAAGAGAGAAACTAAACTTTGCTAATATTACACTAAATCAGCTCACAACTTAAAAATGATTACACAAACCAATACATAGCCTGTTCATAAAGAAGAAAATAACATGTGCGGTTTTAACAGTAACACGCCCAATAAAAGGGGATGCAGTGTATGTGCGTCAAGCTATTAGCCCTCAGCTAGCCCACGTTCAGCATGTCACTGATGCCCTATGGTATGAGTATGAAAGCCCAGAGTTTATTTTGAACAGAAAATGCGCATTTAATGCTGGCATTTAATAGGTTAAAACTGTCAATACTGTGGTTTTTGGGCACCATGGCATTCACTGCATTCCCAGGTCAACCTCATTGATTCCCAAAGGGTTAACAGATTCCCATTCAAACACATAACTGCATATCTCTCTGGCATTCAAGAGGTTAATGAAAACATGACAGCTGTCATAGAGCTAGCCAACACGTGCAGGGTACTGGAGGGGTGGATCTGGTGAGCCCACCCTTAGAGGTCTTAATTCAATTAGCATTGACTCTGGGAGAGAAGAGGGTAACCCCAGACTGGCAGTAGGGCCCCAGCACGTGCAGGGAGGGGTGGGGCTGGGTGACTGTATCAGCTCTCTGTAACAATGGTAACAATGTTACTCTGACAGCAATGGGCTCTGTAACAATACTAAGGGGTTAATCTGCATTGCTGGTCCATGCAGCATTCCTGGGGTTAATACCCTGGCAGTGGGGGTAGTGGCTGAGATGGCACTCACCTGCAGACTGTCTGAGACCCCCTCCCAGCCTGGCACTGCTGCACTCCTGGACACCTGGATCAGCTCCTCTCAGGTGTGCACCAAGTCCTCAGCCTGCTTCTTCCATCACATTGGGAGAGGACTTGCAACATGGAGACACAGAGATACAGTTACACCCTTCACCCCCAAATCCTAAATCCTGCCAGTCACATAATACCTTCATCAGATCTGCACTGCTCCCTGCCCCCACCCCCTCACACAGCCAATTCCCCTCCTAGCCTGGGTCCCCACTGTCCGATGGGCTCTCTATAACCCCATGTCTCCCCTCATAGCTCTCTCTGTCTCTGGGATCCTCATTGCTTTTACTGCATCTCCCCTTAGGCTGTCTGTGTCTGCGGTGCTCTGTCTCCCCCTATAGGCGTCTGCGCCTATTGCAAGCTGCTGCTCTTTAAACCTCCAGTCTCTGATATTGTGTCTAGACCTGCTAGAATGTATTCATCACGTCTGTCCTTGTATATTTATTTATTTCCCATACACCATGTGCCCTTGAGATGCTGCGTTTTTGATTCACTCGCCCTTAGCAGAGATTTTATAATCTACTTCCCTATTATTAGCAAGCATTTAATCTGCAGAGTGCTTTTTTACTGCATTTTTCTCAACTCTGTATAAAAAATATTGCTTCTCTCCCACTGAAGCTTCACACGTCTGGGTTGAGGATACAAAGGATGAAGCAGATCTACAAATACTACAATAATCTACACTCACTCCTCATACCCCTTAACCCCATATTGCCTGAGCTCTCCTTAGAAACTGCACAACTGCTATTAGAATGCCCCTTATATTTCGATTTTTTATTTACCCTTCCCTTTACAGAAACTGCACAACTGCTATTAGAATGCTCCTTACTGCAATATATGGAGATTTATTTTTTTTTATTTACCCTTCCCTTTACAGTGTCCCTATCTGCTATGATCTCTTCACTGATCTGCAGCAATGTGTGATCTGACATGTGATCAATACTTAGCCCATGACCCTTCACACATTTTCTAAACAGTCATCAGACATGGATCTGTCATGCAATGTGTGTTTTTATTACAGAAAAAAATATTTAACTCATTAGAGGTAAAACAAAACACGTTGAATTGTGAAAAACTGTCCCTGACACAAAAAGGACTGCAATAAATTGCGATACACGGTTAGGTATTAGCGTAAACACTTTATTTTATACTCTCTAACTCGAAATGTACAATTTATGGCTAAAAAAAGCTGGTCGAGAACAATGATCCAACTCAGTTAAAGTCAGAGTTTGACTACTGTTTTTGAAATCTGATTAAGGCCTTGATTTAATATTAATGGATTTGTTTTTTATACATGATTCAATATTTTTTTGATAGATTTTTTAAAATGTTTTAATATTAAAAAAAAGTTTAATATTGTAATTTTTTTTATATATTTAGTTTTTTTTTACATGTATAATATATTTTGAATATTGTGAAAAACAACGCTTTAAAAGTGTATCCAACAATATTAAATGATTTGAAAAGATGATCCAAAAATATTAAACTGAGGCCTAAATTAGCTCAAATTTGGAGTTTAGTGAATAACTCTGAAACCGTTTAATAGATTTCAAAATGCACCCAACATGTTTATCATCCATGTTTAAAAAAATCATAAAAGGGCCCACTAACACAAGGGTACTCCGACACCGATATGGGCTTACAGCCAGAGATAGGATCCTTTTATACTAATGTGACTTTATTTTTTACCTGTTTATGTATTATAGATAAACTGAGGTTACTTGAACAGCAACATCATTAACAAATGTGTGACTTTGCTCCCGAAACCCTTTTAATTTGTATGTCTTAATACCTCCTATCATGGGAAGGTATGTAATCCAGGCCGAGGTGGAGGACAAGGGGTGGCGTCGACATTGCTAGTTCTTTTTTTCCCCATGGCTTCTGAAGTTCTTCTGGAACTTTGTGTCAACTAGTTTAAAATGAAACCTACCTTCAATCGTTCACCTGCCCACCTACACAACGACACTGGGGTTCATGCTGAAAACCCTAAAAATGAATCGGTTTTCCTCATTATCCTCAGGCCATAGGAATATCTTAAAAGGGTGGGCATTGGGCTATGGTGGGTGCAGGGTGGACATGGAGGGCTGAAGAAAATATTTATATACCTGCTGTCTCTGTCCATTACTGATCTGCCCGAGAGGTCATACGCCCCTGGTGTGAACTAGTCTAACGAATAACTTCAACCCCAACTAGTCCACCTTTGCTCCAGTAAAGCCTATATGTATATAATATATCTATAATAAAAAGTTTTAAAAATAAAAAAAATGGAGAAATTGGACAAAAAAAGTGTGAATCAAAAGAAAAATATGGTAATAGGTTTAACTACATTCCCCCACAATACCTACAAATTAAAGGGGCGATGTAATCATATTAACCACTACAGCACGATGTGGTGTTTCTGGTGCCAGGAGTCCCTAGTAACATCCTTTTACCAAGAGTCAAACTATTAGAACATTCTGACACTAATCTGGGTCTCCTGGAAGAATGCAGTCGAATTCTTCTTCACAAATATTGCTAAAGCCAAAGTACCCCTTTAATACTTAAGAGGAACGTCTCCTTAGCGATATCTGTGAAGAAAGGTCACTCATTGGTGTAAGGGGAAGATAAGTAAGTGTCAAACTTTTTGAAAATGTCTCGAACACTGGGAAGGCACCAGGGAACCACTGGCACCATAACCATGGCAGTGTGCTGTACAAAGCCCCATTAAAGGTTAATTTGAGATATTATTATTTTTATATAGCGCCAACAAATTCTGTAGTGCTGTACAATGGGTGGATTAACAAACATGTCATTGTAACCAGACGTTGGACGCCCAGGAACAGAGGGGTTAAGGACCCTGCTCAGTGAGTTTACATGTTAGAGGGAGTGGGGTATAGTGACACAGTAACAGAGGGATTGAGGGCCCTGCTCAGTGAGTTTACATGTTAGAGGGAGTGGGGTATAGTGACACAGTAACAGAGGGATTGAGGGCCTGCTCAGTGAGTTTACATGTTAGAGGGAGTGGGGTATAGTGACACAGTAACAGAGGGATTGAGGGCCTGCTCAGTGAGTTTACATGTTAGAGGGAGTGGGGTATAGTGACAGTAACAGAGGGATTGAGGGCCTGCTCAGTGAGGTTACATGTTAGAGGGAGTGGGGTATAGTGACACAGTAACAGAGGGATTGAGGGCCCTGCTCAGTGAGTTTACATGTTAGAGGAAGTGGGGTATAGTGACACACAGTAACAGAGGGATTGAGGGCCTGCTCAGTGAATTTACATGTTAGAGGGAGTGGGGTATAGTGACAGTAACAGAGAGATTGAGGGCCTGCTCAGTGAGTTTTCATGCTAGAGGGAGTGGGGTATAGTGACACAGTAACAGAGGGATTGAGGGCCTGCTCAGTGAGTTTACATGTTAGAGGGAGTGGGGGATAGTGACACAGTAACAGAGGGATTGAGGGCCCTGCTCAGTGAGTTTACATGTTAGAGGGAGTGGGGTATAGTGACACAGTAACAGAGGGATTGAGGGCCCTGCTCAGTGAGTTTACATGCTAGAGGGAGTGGGGTATAGTGACACAGTGACAGAGGGATTGAGGGCCTGCTCAGTGAGCTTACATGCTAGAGGGAGTGGGGTATAGTGGCACAGTAACAGAGGGATTGAGGGCCCTGCTCAATGAGTTTACATGTTAGAGGGAGTGGGGTATAGTGGCACAGTAACAGAGGGATTGAGGGCCCTGCTCAATGAGTTTACATGTTAGAGGGAGTGGGGTATAGTGGCACAGTAACAGAAGGATTGAGGGCCCTGCTCAGTGAGTTTACATGTTAGAGGGAGTGGGGTATAGTGACAGTAACAGAAGGATTGAGGGCCTGCTCAGTGAGTTTACATGTTAGAGGGAGTGGGGTATAGTGACACAGTAACAGAGGGATTGAGAGCCTGCTCAGTGAGTTTACATGTTAGAGGGAGTGGGGTATAGTGACAGTAACAGAAGGATTGAGGGCCTGCTCAGTGAGCTTACATGTTAGAGGGAGTGGGGTATAGTGACACAGTAACAGAGGGATTGAGGGCCTGCTCAGTGAGTTTACATGTTAGAGGGAGTGGGGTATAGTGACACAGTAACAGAGGGATTGAGGGCCCTGCTCAGTGAGTTTACATGTTAGAGGGAGTGGGGTATAGTGACACAGTAACAGAGGGATTGAGGGCCTGCTCAGTGAGTTTACATGTTAGAGGGAGTGGGGTATAGTGACAGTAACAGAGGGATTGAGGCCCTGCTCAGTGAGTTTACATGTTAGAGGGAGTGGGGTATAGTGACACAGTAACAGAGGGATTGAGGGCCCTGCTCAGTGAGTTTACATGTTAGAGGGAGTGGGGTATAGTGACACAGTAACAGAGGGATTGAGGGCCCTGCTCAGTGAGTTTACATGTTAGAGGGAGGGGTATAGTGACACAGCAACAGAGGGATTGATGCTCAGTGAGCTTACACTACACAGTAACAGAGGATTGAGGGCCCTGCTCAGTGAGTTACATGTTAGAGGGTGGGGTGTGTGGTGGAATCTCGGTAAAAATAAATTTAGTAGGCCGAGATTACCACGTGGCATGTGTACGTGCATATGCTGACGTTCGATCAGTTGGTTGCACGAGGCAAGATACGATCAGTAGTGTACGGAGCATGTGCAAGAATACAGGATGTAGTATTCCCCTCCTCCATTGTGCTGGACAAGCCATGCGGTCAAGCAGGAAGTTAATTCTTATTTGTAATGATTGGTCAAGAGAATGTGCGGGTGGAGCTTAATATGGGAGGAGTTATGTGCCTATATAGGGAGCCTGCACTATTGTTCAGGGCTCAGAACTTGCTGTATTTTTGGTGACATTATTCCCTCTGAGTCCCGATCGGTGATCCAATAAAGAATCTCTTCCTTCCTGAAGAAACCTGTGTCCATCTCTCTGTGCTTTGCTTCCGTCAGTTTCTCCGGTATCATTTGGTGCATTGGCCGGGAAACTCATCGTTCAACGGTAGCTGAGAGGCAGAGGCGTGAGACGGTCTATCTTTGCCCACGTTCTCTACGGCTGCACCCCTGAACTTCTGCGTGGACCTCCCTTCGTCTCGGCGCCACTGGTCTGTTGTCCAGGAGATCATCGGCCTCTACGTAAGAAGTGCTGGGGTGTCCCCGTCGATGAGTGTGAACTCAGGTTCAGGAACGAGGAGGTAAGACAACTGCTGTTTTAGACGGCAGACCCACTAGGGGTATACCGATTGTGCGGTAGGCCCAAAAGGGGTTTAAATCTGTGTATGGAATCTGCCCCCTCTGTCGGAGGGAAGGAGCGAAGGCGCACCGCTCGATCGAACGCTCTTTAGTAAGACCGTTTGATCTGGTTAGTCAGGCGGGGTCCTGTGTAAATAGCCCTAGCCGGACACCGGTGTCTTGTCTAGACTAGCGTTCTAGGGTGTATATTACGTTCGCTAGGTCGGAGGGACCGGGAGACTAAGCGGCGCCTGTGTAAATTCGGTTCGCTAGCTCTCAACCTATCTTGGCTAAGTGGGAAGGCGTGTAAATTTGGAACCCACTAGACTTTTGATAGAGTAAATAGACTAGAAGGGCAATTTTGTAAATTCCGCCCTCTAGTTCGCTATATGTGGTGTTTGGGCAGTGTGGCTAACCAAAACGGGTGTATATAGTTTTAGGTAGTCCATTCAAGGTACTGGCCAATAGTTTAGTTGGGATTGTAAATGTGTTAAAGATTGTTAGTAAAGTGTATATCTTGTTAGATAGCGCGAGCTCAGCCGTCTAGCGAGAGTGTTAATAGTGTGTTGCTGTATCATAGTGCACGGTACCATAACCCTGTATATTTACTGACACTGTATATAAGTACTAATCATTGTCGTCTATTGCATGTTTAACACCGTAACCACTAATAATTGTATTGTGACCTTAAATTGTGCTTTGACCTATGCTAACCGTACTGTAACCGATACTAGTAAAAGACGATGTTACTGGGGTGTGTTATAGACGGGTAATTCATATATAGAGAATTATAGCGTGGGTGACTGTATAGTTTCGCCAAAGGGCATAATATTGATTATTTAGTGACTGGTGTAACAGCTGTGTGTGTACGGGAATTCCCTGAGTGATTATTGTGTTATTGTGTACGTTTCACTCGGTAACTGTACCACGTGGTGCTGTTGCCAGAGGAAACGGGTGTGACTGTTGAATAAGAACGCGTGCATAGTATTCGTTGTCAACGACGTTCCATTGATAAGTATGGGCGCGTCAGAGTCAACGATTTCGGATCCCTTAGGTTGTATGGTAAAGAATTTTAAAAGGGATTCAAAACATGTGATTTTGGGGTTAAAATGTCTCCTGTACGTTTGGTCACTTTGTGCACTAGGGAGTGGCCTATTTTGGTTGCGGCATGGCCGCCGCGTGGCAGTTTGGATCCAACCCTGGTACAGCGTGTACACGTGGCTGTATCAGGTAGGCCTGAACTTTACGGACAGTTTCCATACATTGATTGTTGGGGCAGGCCGTAAACGACTCGCCAAAATGGATCCGGATATGCCACGAGGAGCAATGTCGCCTCATGGTGGCCAGGACTTGTTTGTCCACTAGGACTGGTGTTAGGCCCATTTTGGACACGCCCCCTGAGTCCGAGATCCCTTTGCCGCCCCCTTACTTTCCTTTAAGAGGAAGTGACGCGAATGCAGGAAGTTCTGCACCCCTTCCCCTATTGCCCCCATCCACTTCCGCTTCCTCCTCCAGTACAGAATCCACCCCCCCTCGTATTAAAACTCCCCTTCCGGAACCAGGACCAACCCCCATTAGATTTGAATATCCTGATTTGGCGCCACTTCAAACTTCCGGTCAAGCTTCTTCTAGCTCGGCTCGGAGTATACTATTCACTAACTTTTCCCAAAATCAAGTTCCCACATCCTCATGCCCTATTACCTCTCGACCGGAACCTTTAACTGACGCCCCTCCACGTAGCCCCATACTAACCCGACAACTGACCGGTACCCAACAATTAAAACATTATCAGATGCCTCTTCGTCTGAATCCTGGGTCAGCCTATATCGATGCCGCAGGTCAAATGGCACATGCTGACCCAGTCTTCGTATATGTCCCGTTCACGACTACCGATCTCTTGAATTGGAAGACCCACAATTCCTCGTACACTGAGAAACCACAAGTTATGACCGATCTGTTCACCTCGATAGTTCAGACACATAACCCGACATGGGCTGATTGCCAGCAGTTATTAATGACATTGTTCAATAATGAGGAAAGGACAAGGATTAACCAAGCGGCCATTAAGGCGCTAGAGGAGAGAGCCCGTGCTTTAAATCAAGCCAATCCGGCAGCATGGGCCGCAACACATTACCCTAACACCGATCCTGACTGGAATGTAAATGGCGCAGATATGGCTCAACTTAAAGCCTATAGAGATGCTATAATTGCTGGCATGAAAGCCGGAGGGAAGAAAGCTATTAACATGTCGAAGACAGTTGAGGTGATTCAGAAAAGTGATGAAGCGCCCAGTGTCTTTTATGACCGATTATTGGAGGCATACCGCTTGTATACCCCCTTTAATCCGGAAGACGCTGATAATTCCCGAATGGTAAACTCCGCCTTTGTCAGCCAAGCTTACGGAGATATTAAGCGCAAGCTACAGAAATTAGAAGGGTTTGCAGGTATGTCTATCACCCAACTAATGGAGGTAGCGAACAAAGTATATATGAATAGGGAAACAGAAAGTAAGAAAGAGGAAGAGCGCAAGATGCGTAGAAAGGCAGATATGCTAGCGGTAGCGATCGCAGGCGTAGATAGACGGGGCCCAGATAGAGGCGATGGTAGATGGAATAGGGAGCCTTTGAGTAGGAATCAGTGCGCGTACTGTAAGGAAGAAGGGCATTGGAGGAACGAGTGTCCGCAAAGAGAGCAGTATGAGAGACTTACCCAGGGCAGGTTACGGAAACTTTAGAGGCAGAGCGAGAGGTAGAGGAGGCCCCGGAGGGAGTAATGGTAATAGAGGGAGTAATGGGAACAGAGGAAGTGTAAGGGAAGATAGGTACTATCCAGCAGCGCAAAGGTCCCGCGATAGAGAAGGTAGGGACTTTGTGGGATTGGCTGACACGGTCATGGAGGACTATTGATACCGACCGGGCTCCATCCCCCTTGGTCGAGCGGAGCCTATGGTCGATGTATCAATAGGGGGAAAAAGGAG